CCACCACAACCACAATACATTTCACCACCGCAACAAGATCTTAGCTCTTCACCATATTCAGCTCTTGCTCCTCAACTACAAGCAGCTCCAATTCCTCAAGCACAACCAAGCAACAACTCCCAACCAGACCCAATGTGCTTTCCTGTATGCTGCTGTATTCAACAAATAGTGTGTGATGCTCTTGGAATGCCAACGACTGTTTCACACTGTCAACAAGTTTTGATACAAATAGGTTAATCTTCAACATGCCCTATTATATTAGTTAAGTAGTCAACATCGGTTATGTTCCAGTTCAATCAAATAAACTTTCATATTTACAAGAAAAACTTTATTTTTTTAAACTAAAACTGATCTTCTATTCCAGAATCCTCCTAATCTAACACTTTTTTTCTATAACTTACCAATCAACAAAAGAAATTTTTCTTTCATTTTTTAATTTATTAATTGTTCTATTAACATTTATTGGTACTGCTAACCCACGATAAATAATTGCAACTGACATATATTTTCCATTTGATGGTTCAACTTTAATCATTTGATTATTTCTATGAAATAATTCTTGTGTTAAAGATTGTGTAATATTTTTTTCATGATATGCTTTATCAATTGATTGTATAGGAGCATAACTAACTAAAGGAAAATGAATACGTGGAAATGGTACAAGATTTGTTAGAAATTCATTAAGATCAATTATATTTCCCTCTTTAAAACGACTGTTTGCAGTTATATTTGATATAACATGTGCTAGAAGACGATTGATATGAACAAAATTTCCTTTTTGAATATTAAGAGAATATGTACATATATCCCATAAAGCTTCATTATCAACAATAAATACACAATCAGCATATTCTAAACTAATATGAGTATTTAAAACAGTATTATATGGTTCAGTAATAATAGTTGATAATTTCGGAGATGGAAAAATAACAAATTCAAAACATGTTTTTTTTACTATAATTAATATTTAAATGTTCCATGAGAAGTGACGTAAAACCAGACCCCGTACCTAAAACATTTTAAATAAGTACATAGTATATGTATATGTGGAGATATATGTATATATACTACCACCAAAACTATGAAAAATAAGAAATCCTTGTAATGAATGACATTGATTTGTAATACGACGTATTTGTTCAAGAACATGATCAATAAGTTTTTGTCCAAGAGTAAAATATCCACGCGCATAATTTGATGCAGCATCTTCTTTACCAGTTATAATTCTATCTGGATGAAATAATTGTCGATATGAACCAGAACGTACTTCATCTAAAACTGTCGTTTCAAAATCAATATAAAGCATTCGTGGTGTATATTTATGTCCAATATCTTCGAAAAATGTTAATAATGATTGATCATATTCATTTAAACAATTATTCGTTAATAATGAGCCATCTGGTTGTATACCATGTTCAAGACAAAATAATTCCCAACAAGCATGACCTATCTGACAACCTGCTTGACCAACATGAAGACATATAATTTCTTTCATTTAAATCGATTAAAAATAAAATAAATTATATTCGCGCTTCTACAATAAATATTAACAATGATAGTTCAGATAAGAATCTATATATTGTACGTTTATACCGTTAGTTCATCCCATCTATATCTTTTGAGAAATAACGGTAATGTGAAATCTATAGATAAATTTCTCGTTTTTTATTTAATATTATTGATTGCTTTTGACAATAGATATAGTTTGTTTAATTAACAAGACTCGATGATTTTTTGTCAGAAATAAACTTCGAGTATTTTTAATTATAAAAATGTGAAGTTTGTTTTTCTCAAATGATATTTTACTTCAAGGTTTTTTTTCTATTATAATTAGCATATTTTTAACAGCAGTTATTTCAAGGACTGATGTATTTTTAAATCAACTGTAAAAAAAAAAGAATATCGTTTAAACAATGAAACGTCAATAATAATATTCTTATATTTAAAAAAAAATAAACTATTATATTTACAGAATTTTCCTTCATCAAATGACGTAAAAACATCATGTACAAAGAAGTTTTTTTTTTATTTTAGCTAATTACATAAGTACCAACGTCAAGCTTGTCTATGACAGACTACATACATAATACACCGTATAGCAGCTGTCTTTTTTCCAACATAAAGAGGAAATACTGAATAATACCTGAATAGATTATTTTATTTTTGTTTATGTATAATCTTTAAAAAATATTTAAAATTAGTTTTTCTGTATTTAGAATAGATTAATAATGTTTTGTAATCGTAGAGAATTTTAGGTTTAAATAAAAATGAATTATTATATAATTAAATATATTCTTCAAATGTTTAGAAAAACTGGCGTTTATTTCAGCGTGTTTTTAATTTTCTTTCTGTTTGTTTGAGCTAGAAAGGTTTTTCAGTTCTTTTGACTAACTTATCTTTCCTATTTTTCTGCTACATCGTGTGCCATATAGACGATACTTTCTTCTTTTTTTTCTTCTTTTTTTTTCTTGTGTCTGTCAGCCATGGAAAGGGCTCTTGTAATCTTTTAAGATGAAAACACATGAGAACAATTCCAACATTATACACCTCAGTTTTTTACTTCCTTGCTTTCTCATCGTATTACTTTTTCTTTACAAACAGACATATATAACTATAATTTTTTTTAATAATAAAAAAACATGAACTTTTTTCTGATTATTATTTTCTATTCATTGATTGTTGCAATAAATGCAAATTTTAATATTATTTATCAAATACCAAATACAAGTTTTGTAGTAACTACACAACAATTTCAAATTGAAAGTAAAATTCAATAGATTCAAATTTAAATTTATTTTTTAATATTTTTTACTTATCAGTTGATCAACCTGTTAATCGACCTAAATTTGTAGCATTCATTAATGTTTCTAATGCAACATCAAACACATCAATTTATCAAATAGATGTTCATAATATGAGTAGTAATGCAAATTATTCTAATTATACACTTACATTTTATGTACCACCAACAATTTACAGCATAAACAGTGAGTTTTATATAACATTTGATGCTGGTGTTTTGTTTTCAAACACTACAACTAATTCATCTGTTCTAAACGATACTCAATTTTGGCGATTGAAAGTTCTTGATATGCCATCAACCACAGGTATGACAAATCTCTTAACATATACATCAATGGGAACTACATTTAATGGTAAAACTGGTTCTACAATAATTAATAATATTATTAGTACAATGGTTACAACAGCAATGATGTCTACATCCAGTTCTATGACTCAAACAGTTCAAAGTGTAACAACTCAAACTACTGCAAATGTTGTAGTAGCAACCACTACCGGTATGATATAAATTTTGTTTTTCTAAGAAAAAATTCAAAAAAGATTCTTTTTTCTGTAGGTGAATCTCCAGCAACTCGTTCAGCACGATTAGGTATGGGTTTTGGTATTACATTCATTACAGTAATAATCATTTGTGAAATCATCTACTTCAAATACTTTTATCGTGGTACTACACGAAGTGGCAGCTACTATACATAAACATTTATTTTATATGTGACTACATACGTCAATCAAGAATCACTATTAATGCGCAATTATAGCCTAGAGAATAAAATGTCCTCTCTTTTTTTTCTTTTTTATTGTTCATTCCAAAAGTGAATATTGTTTTTGCTTATTCTGTTTATGTCTGACAAAAATAAAATATTATAAAATAAGCATCATATTCAAATTTATCATGACTTGAACAAATTTTAGACTTGCGTCATATTCATTTTATAAATAGAAACAATTAATAGTTGGAAATATTAAAAGTACCGTCAATGAAAACATATCTAATTTATTTGTTTTGATAAAATGAAATATTTCACTAATTTTTTTTTTATTATAAAATATTCAACGGTGGGTTTGTTAACTGAAAAAAAATCATGACATATATACCATCGTTATAAAATGGTTGACGATAATGATTACTAATTTTTAATGAAAATAAAACAACAAGTATTTTGCCTACGTCTTATATCACGCTTGATTTCATCTCTTCCTTTTTTTCCTTTTATACATATATAAAGCGACGAAATTATATGTATTATTATATACGTAAATAAACATCAAAACGACAAAGTAATCAACATTCCATGGAAATATTACTTGCTGCAGGTGCTGTTGGCTTAGCTGGTTATGCATTGGGTAAACGAAGAGAACGTCATCAAGTAGAAAATGGTTTTGTAACATTTCACGGAAATGGAAGTGGTAAACCAGAATACGGTAATGTTCACTATGGTCGTGAAGCTCGTAATTATCAACGTGAACATCGACACCAAAGTCATAGTCATAGTCACCACCAAAGTTATCGTCCAGCTCCAACAGCCACTACTGCTCAACTATATTAAAAAAAACAAAAACATTAATAAATAACGTATATACATAATGTAGACGTTCGTTAGTTTTCACGATGTGTTTTGAATTTCATGAAAAAATTTTTAAATTCTGAATATGATACAAATAAAGACATAAGGTGATTTAAAATCATGCATATATTATCGGCTAACTTTTGTTTATAAATTGATTTGTATAAAATATTTGAAACAATACTTAATAGTTTTGATATTGCAATCAGTATTATTCTTGTGTCTCATCGATTAAAATCTTACCTATTATCTTATTGATAATCAGAGAGCTATACAAATGTTTATTTTTGAAAATATCGCAAATAAAAATATGTAGTTCATATTAGTTATTATAAAATAAAATAGTAAAAAAAGGCCAAGCTTATAAATAGATATGTCATATGTAATTTTTCAATACTATTTTGACCGGATATGAAATAATCTATATTTTGACATTGAACATTATTTTGCACCATTTGTGTAATATTACTTATATTTAAACATTGTCCATAATAAGATTGTTTAGGTTGTGCATAACTAATATTGATATCTAGAAGATAAAATTTATCAATATCCATAGCAAAAATTCCATCAACTTTTGCCCAAGCCATTTGTGGTTCTTGTGATGGCCGATAATCATGTGATGGATGTTCAGTTACATTACTCCATCGTGCAATTGTCAGTGATATATTTTCAAAATGAATATTTTCTAATATACTTGTATTTCCTCGAACAATAAAACCTTGTTCACCTTTTGCAATTATATTTCTAAACGTAATATTTTTTAACATTCCTGTCCATAATTGATCAGCATTTGTTGAAAGACCAGTAACATATATCGGTTCAGCTGAACCCCACCAATCCAAACCAAAAAAACGTGTTTCAATATTCATATGTTCGAATAAAAGATTTGATATTATATTTGATCCCCAACGTGGTGCAACACATAAACCACGATTTGTATCTGTTATACGTACATTTCGAAATATCATATCATACATATTACCAGTAGAATTTCTATCATATGCACTAACTTTAATTCCAGCTGATGTACTTTGTAAATTCATATTTTCAACAGTAATATTAAACATAGATGATGGTCCATGTGATATAATTGCAATACAATCATCGCCAGCTATTATATTTGAATTACGAATAATAACATGTCGAGAATTAATTAGATCAATACCATCATTATTTGGCCAACGACGATCACCCATTATTGTTACATTATCAAAAAGAATATGATCACTTTCAACAATAGTAATTGTCCATAGAGGAGAATTTGTTATTGTAATATTAATTAAATTTACTGAGGAACTATTTCGTACAACAAGTAATTTCGGTCGACAACTATAACCAGAACAATTTGGTAAATTCCATTCAATTGGAATAAGCATATTTGATGATTCTTTATAATCACGTACGAGATGACCTGGTGGACTATTTGCACCACCATCAATTCGACCTTCACCTTCAAGGTAAACATTATGTGCATGATCAACAAGTAAAAATGGATAATCACATGGACCTGTATCAGTTGTTATACTTGGAACACATGAATATAGACTAGCATTATCAGATGCACGTAAAATAGCATTAGAAGCTAAATGTAGAGACACATTCGATGGAATTTGTAATGAACCTGTTAAAAAATCACCAGCTGGTACGAGCACAATACTTGGTAAATTGTAATCAGCAGCTCGAATTAATGTATGTCTAATAGATTGAGTATTATCGGTAGTACCATCACCAATAGCACCATCATCCAAAATATTAAATACAGCGACTCCTTGAGCTGTAATTAAATGAGAAGCAACAACAATAATATATGAAACAAAAAGAAAGATCCGCATATTCTGTTTTCTTTTTAATATGAAATATTTTATCTTCTTTTTTTTTCTTTAAATAAAATCAAGGTATGTTAGAGATAAGAAGTTAAGATATCTTTAAAGAATCTTTTTATAATAGGTTGTATTAATTGTAACAATAATAGTATTGACTGTTATTAATTTTCGACTATATGACTTTTATTATAAACAGATCAGAACAATCAAAAATGGATTTGTTTATAACATAGTTGACATTTAATTATAGAATGTTCAGACAACTGACACTTTCATATTATTCTTCAAAAGAATTCTAATAA